ATCTTATTATCCACATTTTTCCAAATATTAAAAGATAAATAGGTATTAAGTAATTTTTGTTTCTTTCCACGACAATCCTTGCTGTAAATATTTAATTGAATATACCAGAACTGAGGAAGCGTAATCAAAAACTACAAAATCTACCATAATTGACTACAGATCCGAAAATTCAAAAACAATAATACAAAATAGATAACTAAAACTTTAGAACGAACTCATTTTCTTGCACGACGTACAAATACGTGCCGAATTCAAAGACTAACATGTACATTTAATTATTTTAAAATTTTACAGTGACTAATAGATCAGGTTCATTCCACAATTCACAAATATTTAATATTTCTACGTCATACTCATAAACTACAAATTAATTATACGATAATGGAAGTTTTTACTTTTTTTTTATTTTATTTAACATTATACGCGTTAGCAACATCCATTTATCAGAATTTTGGTAAAACTTGAATTGCTCTAAAATCTTAAAATCACTTTGTGTTCTCCCTGTACTTACTTTGAGAAATTACTTGTTTACCTCCTAAATATTTTATTTGTGTCATAAACGAACAATGATTTAAAAGATACAAACATTTTAAAATGACGCGTTTGGTGTTGGTAAAAAACCTTTCTATTTATTTATAAAGATTTATATACAACGAACCATCGATAAAAATCCCATTGGAGTAGGTTGTGCCAAAAAAATCTTGTGGGTTAGGAATTAAGCAGCTTCCATATAATAATATACAGCCTAGGAATTTCGAAGAGTTTGATTTATAGTGCAGAAATCGTTTTCAAAAAAACTTATTAAATATCAAAAATATAAGCTGTAAAATATTGTTTTCTTGTCAATTGATGGCAAATGAGATAAAAATTAATACGAAAATATCATTATTTTTGGCAAATTTAAGCGATGTAATATTTATCTTACTCATTTAAATGCCAAAACACACGTATCTTATAGATCAACTAAGACTAAAGTCACTAAAAAGCTTAATGTTGACCTTCTAAAAGCGTAAGGTAGGAATATAATAAGCTTCTAGAAATATATTCTGTATATTTTGCATTATATTCATTTTTATGAGTCTAAACCTTGCCTACATAAAATGTAGGCAAGTAAATATAAAATAATCTTTTAAAACCATTTTTCAAGTTTTAAGCTCTTTTGGAAACCTTTGTGACAAAGATAAGTACAACACAAAGCACAGTAAACTTTGCCTTGTGTTTTCGAATAACCAAGTTATCAGTAAGACCAGTCTCTGCAATTGTATTTAGGAAGAAAAAATGTATTTTTCTCTATGTATACTAGTATACTGGATACGTAGATACGTATTTCTCTCTACATGCTAGAAGACACCCAATTATGTATGAAATTGAGAGAAATATGTTTTTAGATATTCTTCGACGACAATTCCATAGTGTTATCTCTTCAGAAAAATTACCAAGTAAATGGTGATCCATAAGAACATGTAAGTTAAGTGATTGATCAAGAAAAAAGTAAATTGAATAAAGAAAAGTGTTGAATTAATTCATATTGCAAATATAATGAACAAAGTATATTACTAAGATCTGTATTAACATAATATTGCTATTCGAATACACTTTATAACACAAGTAGTTGCAATATTAGTGTTTACACTACTTGCATAAACTTTTTAGCTATTAATCAATCATTATTATCGTGGTTTTTCATAACAACACCAAAACGTCTTGGTAAAACCATTATGACGGTTTTCATGAAATTATTGGTAGATTTTTTAAGCCATGTTAAAGTATGATCAATCCTTCTGGTGGGAATCAATGAATGAGCGTTTAGTGAGACGTAAGCCGCTCACCACGAAGTGGTACAAAAATTATTTTGGACGCTTATCAAGATTTGTAGGATGAATTTGATACCACAGAAAGTAAAAAAAAGTTATACAATGTCAAATCTAGAGCAAAAAGAAAGCACAAAACCGGAATGAGATCGCTGTAGGAAGTCCTTAAAAAATAGAATAAACTGCTGATTAACTGAAATAGATTTCGTAGAAGCCGTAATAAGCTGATTGAAAGCTGTGGATTTAAGAAGGCTCTGTGCACAATGGATTCTATTCGCCACCACAAAACCCATCAAATCACACAAAAACACATTTTAGAGAGGATAGAAAGAACTGCATCATTCCTAATAAGACGAGTTTAGCATAATGATCTTCAATAAAAACAAAAGTCTTAAAATAGGGTTAACGCAGTGAATAAACTCAAAAACGAGTTAAAATTCAAAAATCGGACAAGAAAGCGTCAGCAATAGTTTTTTGGGTTGAAAAATAAAGTTTGTTCGCCAATTAACTCCAAAATAGTAAAAAACTAAACCGAAATTCGTGATGAAACACTTGGTTTATACAAGAAAAAATGATTTTCCCATAAAATAACTCACCCTATCATAAAACTTAAAAATCCATCGAGGAAATCAATGAATTAAAAAAATAATTATAGCAACATACACCCCCTGGCCAGATTTAGCTCCATTTTATTTCTAACCGTTCTCGATTCTTGAAAAAATTTTAAATAGGCACTGTTTTCGGATTTTGTTTGCGAATTAACTCCAAAATAGTAAAAAACGTAAAAATTTGGATTGAAAGACTTGGTTTACAAAAAAAAAGTTAATTTTTCAATAAAACAACACACCAATTAGAAATTAAAATACTAATTGTGGCAACATACACTCTTGGCCAGATTTAGCTCCATTTGGCTTTTAGCTATTCTTAAATCTTGGCAATTTCTTATGTAGACACTGTTTTACATCGAACAAAGATGTAAGAGCAGTCATTTGACAGTCTTCTTGCTACTCACTTAAGGATTTTGTGTGCGAATTAACTCCAAAGTAGTAAAAAACGTAAAAATTAGTGTAGAAAGACTTGGTTTATACAAGAAAAAAATGATTTTTCAAAAAATAACATATCTTCCCATCAAACTGGAAAAACCATCGCGGAAATCATTAAATTAAAACATTAATTGTGGTAACACACCCCCTTGAGCAGATTTAGCCCCATCTGACTTCTAGCTGTTCTCAAATGCTGGAAAATTTGTAAGAAGGTACTGTTTTACTTCGAACAAAGAGGTAAGAGCAGCCACTTGACAGTCTTCTTGTTACTCACTTGAGGATTTTGTTAGCGAATTAACTTCAAACTAATAAACAACGTAAACATTATGAGTGGAAAGACTTGGTTTATACCAGAAAAAAATGTAACAATAAAACATTGAAAACTTTGTTTTCAAACTTCCACAAAATTTATTTTAACTATTATCACTACAGCTGTTTCGGCTGATTGCCTTTCTCAAGTGAAAGTAAACGCATGCCAAAAATAGATCACTTGAGAAAGGCAATCAGCCGAAACAGCTGTAGTGATAATAGTTAAAATAAATTTTGTGGAAGTTTGAAAACAAAGTTTTCAGTGTTTTATTGATACATAAAATGAATTTCCATCAAGTAACGGTCGAATCCATCAATTATTTACCAGAAAAAAAAATCATTTTTCCATCAAACAACGTCTTTTTTCCATAAAACTCAAAAAATCATCGCCAAATCAGTGAATTAATGAACTAATTGAGGCAACACAAACCCTCTCGTCCAGATTTAGGTCCATTTGACTTTTAACTGTTCTCAAATCTTGAAAAACTCTTAAGTAGGTAATTTTTTACATGAAACAAAGAGGCAAGAGCAGCTGTTTCAGTCTTCTTGTTATTCACTTCAGAAATGGAATTCACTAATTGGAAGAATCCTGCAATAAGTCTACTCAAGCACAGGGAGATTGTATTGAATAATGAAATGTACAACATAAAATCATGTTTTGGCAACAGCGGTCACCCGGTCACGCCATTGATGCTTTCGAAACAAATGATGTTATATCTACATCTATTTAAGCTTTAGCTATCAATGAAGATCCACGGTCCCAACTTTATGTATTGTTTTAAGTCGCACTTTAAAAATATTTCAATTATAATGTAAAAATGGTCCAATGCAGATCGTTTAAAAAATATATTGCTTTAACACTTTTTAAAATAAAGAATTATAAGTTATAAAAGTGAAAACCGTCATAATGACATCACCTGTCATATTAACTTTATTATTTGAATTTGACAAGATATTGAGCAACGGACAACTAGAAAAAGTTGTTAGAAACGATTTATTAATTTATTTAGGCGTATCTTCACTTTAAGTATATTTAACAACGTTTAAAAAAATTATGTGACAAAAACTATATAGTAATTACGTATGCATCAACTATAAGTCGTAAGGAGTGTATTAGGTTAAATGTATGTTTCAAGATATATCATTAAAACGCCATAAATTTGAACAATTACTTCAAAAGCCTCAATGCTCAATAGACTACAGTGATAGAATCAGTTCAAACGTTAAATAAGCAATTTGATTATTGTAAAGCTTATAGCAAAGCAAAAAAATATTGTTACACATACGACGTCATAAACAACTGCTACCAATACTATTCTAAAATAATTTTAACATTTTAGTTACTGTAAAGCTAAAATGGTACTTTTCATAACAGAAAAAATAAAAACAATGTACCTATTTCTTTATTTTTAAGGAAATCAATGTGTGTTTAATAATTAGAATGTGATTAAATTACTCTGAAGTCACCTGAAGCGAGACCAATCAAATTGCATGACGTCACTTGTCAATTGTTCACAAGCAATTGATATGAGTGGGTGCTTTATACTTTGTTCGTTTAATTCTACTGATATCTGTGAAATTATATATAATTCTACTGATTTCTGTGAAATTATTTTGAAATTTGACCACCAACGACTAAAAATTTGTATAAAACGATTTTAAGAAGATTTTTCCAATTGTAGAAAGTGGATACATTAACGCAAATATTTCTAATTTGCCGGGAATTGTTTTACGGTGGCCAGTTTCTTCTCAATATACAGTAACTACTAATATGTTTTCTTCTGTATGTCTTTCAACATAAAAATAAACAAATAATATATAAATTTACATCAAAATGATCTTCACAAAAATATCTTTTATAATTATCAGCAAATAGTATACAACACGTGACACGTTGTAATTAACACGTGACGTCACAGTAGTCACAGGTTACTTTATACTGGCGAAAATTGAATACACTGTTTAGCAGTTTTTTGTTTCAACTAATAACAAGAAAAATCTGCGTTTTTCCTAAAAATGTTGAGCTGTTATCTGAAACAATCTAAATACTATATCTTGAAACATTACCATTAAGTTGGATTTAAAAGAAAATAGAAAACAAACGGTTTGATTCATTTATTTGCATATTTTATAGAAGCTCGCTTAATATGTGTCAGTGACTCAAGAGTGTGATTATCGATGTAAAATTGTGTCGAAAAAACAGTGTTGTATATGAATTTCTGCAAATAAATGAAACATAAGAATAAATACAAAAAATATAATTCGGAACGAGGTAAGTAAGCACTTGTTTAATATTTACAGTCACCTATTGACCCCATAACTTAAAATAAAATTGTCCACTTCTAAATCTAAATAAAAAATGAGGAAAAACAAAGTCTTACATTATTTTCTTCGATTTAAACCACGTCCGAGAGTAATTCATAATTACCAAATCTTAACGCGTCTAATTTTTGTACGGTACAGCTCATCCATTATAGCGAGGACAGTGGGAAAAATGCGTAGATCGTTGCGCAAATGCTATGCGCCAGGTATCTCATCTAGATAAAAATTTGGCTATTTGAATTACCCCCGTTCGGTGGTTGTTCCGTTAAAAGTACTTATCAGGAAAACAAGCAAGATTCTTGAAAACATTTTATTATCTTCGATAATATGAGTTTCAAGGAATACGCTGAAACTCACCTTAGCACTAAATTAAAGCATATTAAATTTTAGCTTGTAGTATTAAAAATTTATAATAAAAAACTATTCTTCTAATTAGAAAAGGACATAATTAACTTTACTATTTGTTAAACAATAATAGTCGAGTACTTTCTGAATAAAAAGATATACCTACAAGTGTTTCGGTACTTGTTTTCTTTAGTAAATTGTATGATATCATAAAAAAGCGCGAATTCGAAAAATTTTCTCTAGAATCATCTTTTAATAGATTAAATATGAAAACACAGAACAAAACATCAAATTTAACGTCTCAAAGTTTGATGTAAGTAAGATCTGTTCAAAATACTAATTTTGAAAACAGTTTTAAAATCTGGAGAAAAATGTATACCTCAAAATACATTGAAATAGTTTGTTAATATGAAATTAATAACATGTTTGTTATTGTTAACGTAGGTAAAGTTAAATACGTCCAGATCTGGTTTAGAAAATCCACCAACAGAAGCTCCAACAGACTAGAATCCACACTATGTGACCAAACACATCCGATAAGTTGGCAAATATTACTGACCATTTTTTTTTGTTTATTATTTTTGTTCGCACATAATTTTAAGGTAGTAAAACAATCATTTCTTCCGAAAACAATAGTCGAGAATATTCTCTGATATGGCCAGTTAAATTTTACACACTCTCAGACTCATAACCTCTCTCTGTAAAGGCAAAAATACGACTTTGTTAGATTGACACATAAATTTTATGAAATCTTAATCTTGCGTCTTTTTAATCAAATGAGCCGTAGAATATTTTACAAAGAATGTACATATTATGTGCTCTACATAGTAATTTGTTTAACTCCATTTTAAGACCATTTAATGACAATAATGTAACACATCACTCAATAAGTCCGACGTTCAAATATAGAGGTCGCCACTAACAAATCCATATACTGAAAGCACGAGACGTCAAACGTCACCTGTCAAGATTTGAGCTCAATTTTGTCATTGCCAGGTAACTTTTACTATAGTAAATAGGAAGAACAATACACATACATGTTCTCCCTATCTACTATGTCACAGATGTAGAATTTAGCTGTAAAGTATGGCAAAACTGACCTCATAGGTTAGTTTCAGTTTTCCAACTGAAAACTGTGCTTGGTTTAATATAACATGGCAAGAATCAACATTTGATTCTACACTGCGCGTCAAAAAGAGACCACCTAGAATTTTATAAGACTTTTTCAATAATTGTAAGTTTATGCAATTTATTCTATTGTAAATAAACTACAACAATGCAGAAACACTTTTATGCACTGTCATTGTGTGCCGACATGTCATTTAATTTCGCAAAATTGATATCAGTTTTACGACTTCGGAGAATGCACGTGTTGTTTGTACGTTGTTTTTCTTGGAATATGGCTGAGAGATTTGCTAGATCTGTTCAAATTGTTACTTTGATTAATAATGGAATGAGTCAAAGAGAACTGGCCAAACAGCACGGAGTCAGTCGTTGTATGGTCCAAAAAACATGCATGGAAACTATGGAAGCAGAAAAAATTCACAATATTTTTAAAAATGTTTCATTAAAATCATCATTTTGGCAGAAGTTTTTTTTGACATTTGTTATGTAAGAAATGGTTGCATAGTGCTTTAGAACATATTCTTAAACATCACAAAACACCTAATGACAATAAATTTCTTGTAGGGTTATTAAATGAAAAAAGTTTTACGTGGCTTCTTTTTGATGACGCTCAGTGTATTTTAACATTCTCAACTGTAATTATACACATGGCGGGAGACAAAAGTTGTTTGTTTTCTAATGTGGAACATGCTCATATGGAACTGACCACACCAATTGGACTCTTAGCTGCGAAGATATTATACGGTCTTTTATAGTAGCTGAGATCAGTCTCTTGGCATAATTAAAGTGACTGAAAGTAAAAAAGTGGAGTTTTATTAATGCACAATCGTGTCACAAGGGCACTTGAATCTACATACTACAAGATTCAACGACGAAGCAAGATAAGCCATTGGGACAGGTAAGGAAAAAGAGTACAGAATTGATAGAGCCGTGTTGAAAAGTCTATAAAGAGACTATGTTGACAAATCTGTTCGGACTTTTGCCAAAACATTGACGTTTTATTAGTTGAGCCCAGGACTTTTTAAGTGAAGTGATAAACACTTAATATTTATTCTGTAGATGAAAATTTTTTGCTGGAAATATTATACAGCTGATATTATGCTTTCATAACATTCCTTCCCTTAAATTTGCAAAATTTATTTTACATAAAGAACAAGTTTTTTTACTACTAAAATAGTATATTGTAAATCAGAGAAATATTTGCAATATATAACTATTGCAACGTTGAATTTGACTTAAATTTATATCCAATAACATTTTTTTGTCGTTTTAAAAACCTAATAATACTAATTTTAATTTTTTCTTTATAAATCTTTGAAAATAAAATAAAATTTATCACAATATTTACGTTAAGTAATTTGATTTATAGAAACTAACGAATAAAATACTGACCAAATTGTTTAGCAATTTGCTTGTCCATCGAAGAACCGCAAAATATGTGGAATTTGCGCGGGTAAAGTGATTAAGATTTCGAATTCATCCTGCCAATCTATAAAGTAACAGAAACGTTGCGTTACAATAGCTTTTACTCAATGGCTTTCGACATAAAATCAATAAACCTCCTGGCATACTGTTCGGGATCACAGGTACTAATTCCATCGACGTTCGATCCATACTTCACGGTTTTGGCTGCTTTGGCGGCCTGCTTCTTCACTCCGTAGTGGGTTAGAACATCGATGATGGCTATGAAATAGATTTCTTTGACGGGCGCCGAGTCAGACGACGGTATGGCGTATATGTCTAATTCCGGGATGATGCCACCTGAAAATATAATCAGCGCATGCGGTTATTTCTAATAAAAAACGTGTGCACGATCGGCCAACAGTGGTTTTTGGTATTCGCCTAAAGGCATGAAAGTAAAAAAGCGCAAGACACATGAAAGCACGTGAAAACAATGATGAACGTATTTAATCATCGATAACTATCAAAAATAGTTCTAATAATTTAGTTCAGTCTAGTAGTCTATCTTTAAAATTAATATATTATTTTATACGGCCATCATATCAAATTTATATATCTATGACTTGCGTGTAGTGTGTACTAAGCCCCTAACCATAGAAACCATAGACATACAGTGAACGGCTGAATTATGGAATATTATCATTATTTCGAGAACCTTCGAGTTTTGAGGGAAATCCCGAAACAGGTTTGTTATAAAATACCCATCTTATAACGTACATAGAGTAGTGATGACATCACCGGTGTGGATGTAGTGAGGTAATCGTTAATTTTTTAAAATAAAAATCGGTGTAATGCGTCACCTCATTTGAAGGAGAATTTAATTCTCTATTTAACGACATTATATTTTAACTAAAATATTTTTTTAAGGGTACAAAAACAATTTTTTTAAATTTAAATTCAACTAAATTACAACTAATGATTTAATTAATAATGTACTTTAAAGTAACCAAATTATGCGTAATAATTATTTTAAATTAAATTTTTGAAATGCCATCCATCGGACAATATGCGAATCTACGGACACATTCATCAAGTACATTGCGGATGACTTCTGGAGTAATTAGACTCATTTCATGCCTAATTCTATCTTTCAAGTCCTGTAAGTTTTGGGGTCTACTGACATAAACTTCTGATTTTATGTAACCCCACAGGAAAAAGTCTAGAGGTGTTAGATCTGGCGATCTTGCTGACCACTCTATAAAACCTCGTCTTCCGATCCAACTCCTGGGAAAGCAATGATTTAAAAATTGACTTACTTCACGTGCGTAATGCGAAGGGGCTACATCTTATTGAAACCAGATATTTTCACTAGGTAAATTTGGATTATTGGCATTTGGATACATGTTAGCAAGGACAGGTATAAGTTGATTTCTCAAAAAAGTTAAATAACGTTCTCCTGTTAGATTTTCTTCAAAGAAAAAAGGGAAAATGATTCTGTCATTAATGATACCTGCCCATACATTTACTTTCTGAGGATATTGCGTGTGCGACTCAGTCATCCCTTGTGGGTTTTCTTGACTCCAATATCTGCAATTTTGACGATTCACGGTACCATGTATAAAAAATGTGGCTTCATCGGAAGAAAGGATTTGATTGATGAAATGTGGATTGCGGATACATATACTTCATCCAATTTACATACCTATGCACGTCATTATCTACGTCAGAGATCGAAGTTGACATAGTTGCCAAAGTATAAAAAACTCCTGACTCCATTTTAAATCAAATAGGTCACATAATTATTGCAAAAGTATTACCATCTCTTTACAGATTTTATTAAATAGGTAAAAATATAAAACAAGAGGTATTCACTTTAAAAATTCAAAATAATAAAGTACAAAAAGTGTCAACACCGCAACTGTCAAATAAGTGTTACCAATGTATGTCAAAATTTTATCTTTGTTCGATTACAGTTACCATGTGTTCCGAACAAATGTTCCTTATAAAAACGCTTTATAATGCATTTATACAAATTAAATGAAACATATTATTGTGTATTTCTTCAAGTTAATATTAATATAAATCTTTAAATATTATTTCTACGCGTATATAATATAGTGGCTGTAATGCCAGTGTACTCGGCAAAGTGATTCTAAAAAAGAACACACCTACCACCTAAATATTTCGTGTTGGTATCAGGTGACGTCACGGGCTATGACGCCGATGACGTACATCGGTATGTAAATTAGATGAAGTGTAAATCCTGTATAATTTCAGCAAATTGAAGCCGGCGATCGGGATCGTCGTCGTTTAATTCCTAATGTAGTTAGATTTTTTAGGGATGGTATTTTTCTTTTTTTAAATACGTAATACCGATCGTTGGGAAACTCCAGCATATTCACCCACTTGTGTTAAACTACTGTGAGGATTGTCATGTACATTTAATAAAATATCAAGTTTCACATTGTCTTTAATTTTAGGACGCTTAGCGTTTGGAATATGTTTAGCGTGCCCAGTTTCTCCAAATTTTCGGACTGTTTTACTTACTGTTGATTGACTGATGGGTCTGTCTGGATATTTTGCGTTGAATAAATTGCATACCTCGTTCTGTGATCTTTTTTTATCTCCGCATCCGCTAAGAATTAATATTTCTATGCGTTGTGTTTCATTTAGGTGAGCCATAATTTAGTATTCAAAAGTAAAAATTACAATTGACTTATTTACAACTGATTACAATTGATTACAACTGATCACAATTCACAAAATCAAAACATTTACGTCAATAAATATTACAGAAACTATGACACAATCACTTGCTTAAATTAACATTTGACAAACAGTTTCAGTGTTTATGAAATAACTTTTTGTGTCCATTAATATTTTTAATTATTTTTGCTTTTTTCACTTCAGAAAGTCATGGCAGAAACCAATGGATGGCATTTCGAAAATTTAATTTAAACTAATTGTTATGCATAATTTGGATACTTTAAAGTACATTATGAATTAAATCATTATTTGTAATTTAGTTGAATTTAAATTAAAAAGAAATGTTTTTGTATCCTTAAAAAAATATTTTAATTAAAAATATAATGTCGTTAAATACAGAATTAAATTTTCCTTTAAATGAGGTGTCGCATTATACCGATTTCTATTTAAAAAAATTAACGATTACGTCACTACACCCATACCGGTGACGTCATCCCTACTCCATGTACGTTATAAGATGGGTATTTTACAACAAAAATCGACTTGTTCCGGGATTTCGTGTGACGGTACGACAGAGAAAACTGAAAGCAGTTCCTGCATCTCTTTCTAATTTGCCTTGTTTATCGACCAAATGGCCGAAATGACCAATGAGAAGGTCACGTGGTCGATAAACCCCGTCCACTGGACATAGATACAGCTTCAGTTTTTCCTGTCGTACTGGGGAAACACCACCGCATTGCAACAGTCAATCTATCTGGTATTATATGTTTATGCCCCTAACCTAACTTAATCTAACCTATAAATGGTTCTGAAATAATTTCTTGTGATATTTCTATAGTATCTATCTATTTTAATGGAAATAAATCCACAATTTTGATTGGGATTTACTTTATATTTGACGTTTCAATATTCACCTCGAAAATCGTTCTCAAAACACTAAAACAAAAACGATTTTTGAAGTGGAAGTCGAAACATGAATATACACCATATAATTAAACCGAGAGTTTGGCAGAAACCCAGGAAAATCAATCATGACAAGAAAACGAACGAGAAGGTTGATCCAGCACTAAAAAAATAAAGTACAGCAGTTAAACCAGATGTCTCAAAAAATAGTATGGAGTTTGAATTTATGCCAACCAGAACAACACGAGCAAATGAAGAAACTTTGGGACAGTGGAAACAAAATTTTGAAGAAACTAGTCTAAAACTTAATAGAATAAAAACTGAGTACACAAAATTTAAGTGTTAAGAGAAAAAAAGGTTGTCTTAACTTTTTTATATAGTAAATTTCGCAAGTTAATGTTTTTAGAGCTTTATTTATTATTGTAATATTATGTTTAGTTAATCTTTGGTACTACAAGAAAACTAAATGGAAAGAGAAGGAGACGTAGGCCAAGAAAAAAGATTCAAAGATCGAAGGAGTACGGAGTACACTGAAAAAATCAAGACCAAAAATCGAAAAAAATAAAAAGAGAATGATCATACAACAGTTCAAGACCTACAAAGGATTGCAGAATCGAAAAATGGTTACGACAAAAAAATATTTGCAATAATATTTTATTCCTTATTTTGAGTAGTTCAAATATCACTTTTGATTCATATATTTCTAAACTGATTAATAAAAGCAATGTTTAACGTGAAAGTGAACAAATGAACAAAATATTTCTATCCTAATCAATTTGAGAACTAAATTTTAAAGTCGAACAACTCTGAAATTCGTAGAATGGTCTTAATCGCATATGAAATTGATTTCAAAGCTTATGACAAAGCAGAAGTGATGATTGGTTAATAATTTCCAAAGAGAAAAATTTCAAACTACTTATTATGACAAACTCACAAACGTTTGTATGGAAAATAAGCAACAAAATAATGTGAATTGTATTAAGAAGTATCGAAAGCATAACCTACTTACACTTATTCGAAAATAAATATAAAAATAATAAGTATAAAAATATATTTTTCAAAACTTGTACCAAAAGGTATGATTGTTTTTTTTTTCTTTATAAAAATCTGTTCTTTGTTCACACTATGATATATTTCATCATTCTGACTGTACAACCATGCGTGAGTTATGTGCAACCATGAAAAAAACCTTGTTATGGGTCTTCCTCTTCTTCTCTGACCAATGGGTCTATCAAGGAGAGTTTTTCTAGCTGGGTCATTTTGTGCGCAGCCCATTATCAGTTTTAAAGGGTTCAGACAGTTCCCTCTGAAATTGTACTCTACTTCGAAAATAAATATAAAAATATATTTTTTAAATCTTGTACCAAAAGGTATGATTGTTTTTTTTTTCTTTATAAAAATTTGTTCTTTGTTCACACTATTCTATATTTAATCATCATGCGTTGGTTATTATGTCTTCTTCTTATGTCAGGAAACTTATCTTCTTCCTACGCTTCTCCTACACTCTATTTTTCCTTGAATTATGAGTCTCAAGATGTATCTTTCGCCTCTCATCACATGTCCGAGATATTGCAATTTCCTTTCTTTTATTGTATTTTCTATTTCCCTCTCTCTGGTCTTGAAATGGTCTTGAAAAACTTACCATCCAGGGAAAAGTAGAAGACAAAAGAAATAGAGGTAGATCTCCCACACGATAAACGGACCATATTGTTGCTACCATTGGCGCCCCAATGTCAGAATGTGCTAGAATGGCAGAAGATAGGAAAACGTGGAGGAACATTGGGAAATTTAGCTAATAGCTTCATGATATCACGATACCTACATCAGGTTAACGACTAAGAAGAAGAAGATATTCTATAAAGTTCGAAGTAGTATCGTCTTCTCTACACTCCATTGTTATTCACTGCTCCATAGATTTGCTCATTACTTTTCTTTCGAAACATCGTAACATGTTTTCATTACTTTTTGTTAGAGTCCAGGTCTCTGACCCATATGTTAGGACTGAGCGTATTATTGTTTTTTAGAGTTTTATTTTTGTATTTCTCGATATAATTGTGGATTTAAGGAGGAGATTAGGTCCAAAATTGCATCTGTTGGCCGTGCAAATTCTGCGGTTTATCTCTACGGTAGTATTATTTTCAGTGTTAAGGAGCGTTTTCAGTTATACAAATGCGTTCACTGCTTCAAAGTCGTTTTCTATAACAAGTGGTCGTTGGATTTGTGGTTGTCTGCTTATTTTCTATACTTCGTTTTGTTGGTGTTTATTATTAAACCCATTTTTGTAGTTGAATGCTACATACACCTCTTGTACAGCGTTTTCCGTTCTCCCAACAATATTTATATCATCAGCATAAGCCAGGATTTGCATTGATTTATTATATATTAAACCAATGGTCGTAATTTGTGACATACGTATTACTTTTTCCTAAGTCAGATTGAACAGTATACAGGAGAGGGTTTCCCTGGCGCAGCCCATTATCAGTTTTAAAAGGTTCAGACAGTTCTCTCTGAAATTGTACTCTACATTAAACCTTTTCAAGAGCTAGTTTTGTTAAATTTACCAACTAATTTGGTATTCCTAGGTATATTTCAGCAAATATTAAGTCTCAGCAATTAAAGGAGAGAATCGAAGATAGACAGAGAGTGAAAGCCAAAATATTTGAGCAAATTTCCGAATGCAGACGTAATAGCCACTAGTGTGTCTGAAAAATATTTGAAAATATCTGTTCCAATACGCCGCATTATATAAAACGAATACAAAAATTCGTTTTAAGAAGATATAAGTATTTTTTAATATTTCAACAACGTTCTATGTTCAGTTATCTAAAGTAGATTGCGTAAGTATCGTCTCCACTCTGTAAAGTATAAAATTTTTCTCGGAGTCTACCTTCGTTTTTTACTTTTATCTGACACCCAATATAGACAGAAAAATGTTTAAGTGTGAACGAAGTACAAATTTTAGAGAAATTCTGAGGCATAATACGCCTTTACATATAAAATAAATTACGAATTTCATAAAAAAATATCAAATGTCTTAAATTTATGTAAGTTTGCTTTCGATACTTTCTTCGATTATATTGTCGTAATTTATATAATTTTTTGGCAATTCAAGACCTTAACATAAAATGAAACCAAATCTATATAATGCAGTTAATTTTTCTACACAAAAATTGAGCCAGTCGCATTACCAGACCCGAAAATAAATCACACGGAAGCGTCAAACAAAGCACACACTTTATATTTATAACCACAAAGACCTTTGGGGTGTAAAGCTAGTTAACGTCCGTAGTAGAATACTACATGTGCACCCTGGGTAATGCTAAATGAACTAGTACAATAGGCAGTCAGACAATCTAGAATTTCTAGATCTCGGAAGAGATCTAGAGTCTAGAATCTCTAGACTCGGACCAAAAATATAGAAGGTAATAGTAGAAGTAAATGTAAGTACCTTCAAATGGTACTCATTGAAAATAATATCGACATGGTCGCAATTCAGGAAACTCATGTAGAAAACGAAGAAGAAATTCTCGTTAAAGGAAGAATTCATGACTATGATTTATTAGGTGCAACTTACCATCCATGCTTATGGAGTGGCAACCTATGTTCGAAACAAAATAGAAAATGCACACATATGTTCTACATCAGACATAAATAACATTCATATGATTACTATACAAATTGGCAAAATTACTGTCAGCAATATTTATAAACCCCCGGCAGTCCTGTGGCCTCCGCATGTTATTCGCGCCCACCTACACTCCTCAGTTTATGTTGGAGACTTCCATGATGACTGTTGTCTGAAACTCTGAAAGTATAGGAACAGTGATCAAAACGGTGAGGCTCTGCTAAACTGGAGAGAAGAGGCTGACGCTTATTTAGTCTTTGACGCTAAAGATCGGGGAACTTTTCGATCTGAAGCCTGGAGGCGAGAATACAACTCAGACTTACGTTTTGTTTCCACAAATGAAAACAGTCAATCAATGGCAGCTCGACGACCAGTTATAATAGACGTTGGCATCAAAATACCAATAATAGCATCATTTTCTCGATCTAGGTGGAACTTTCAAAAAACAGACTGGGCGACTTTTACTGAGAGATTGGACAAATGTCTGGGATGGATAACTCCAACACGTGATTACTATTTGAGATCTGGTGGCACCGTTATCGCTACAGCGAAGAAAACTATACCCAGAGAATATCGTAAAGAGTATGTCCCAGGATAGTATGAAAAATGTGAGAAATCAAGAATACAACGAAAGCCAAGATCAAGAAAGTGCGGACGAACTACTACACAGTTTGAATGCAGCCAGACGACAAAAATAGATGGAAACTGTGGAAAAAATAGACTTCAGTAAATCAAGCAGAAAAGCATGGTCTGTACTTAGAATACTTGGTAGTAGCAGAGTCCTAACTAGGGACAAAGTACTAATAGCTCCCAATACAGTGGCCTCCCACTTTGTAGCAACCTCAAGAGCATCTAAAGATCGTGACCACACCACCAAAGTAAAACAAGAACTAAAAATACTAAAGTTTGCACGCCCGCCTACATCTGAATACCCTGACCAGTTTACTCCAGAAACAATTATTTCAGCAATATCAGAAATTAAATCTGGAAAGGCACCCGGCTCCGATAAAATCCATCCAGAATTTTTACTCCTATGGGGCAAATATGCTAGGAAGTGGATGGCTGATTTCTAGACAGATATGTTAAAATCAGGAGAAATCCTCAATTCACTAAAAAAAAAGCCTCCATTATAGCTATATTAAAACCAGGAAAGGCAAATGATCAGCCCCCAAAACTACCGACTAATTGCACTACTGTGTCTATAAACTTTTGGAAAGCTTAATCTACAACAGAATTAGTAGAAACTTATTTGAATTGATACCTATTGAACAAGCAGGGTCCCGACCTAACCACAGCTGAACAGATCAGATCCTATTCCTAACAACACATATTGAAGCAAGTTTTCAAAGAAAGCAAAAAGCATCCGTTGTTTTCATTGACCTATCAGCTACATACCATACTGTCTGGAGACAAGGACTTATCTGCAAACTAATCCGTGCCATCTCGTGTCAAAAGGTAATTAAACTCATTGATAGCCTGCTCACCGACATACCTTTTCAAGTCACAATGGACAACTGTAAAAGTGTCCAAATGAAGCTCAGCAATGAACTGCCACAGGGATCTGCTTTGGCACCCTTCCTGTTTAATTTCTAGATCGCGGACCTACCTGGTACAACTTTGCAGAAATTTGGCTACGCTGACATTGGGTATTGCAGCAAGACATAATAACATGGATATTACAGAAGCAATACTAACGGATGACTTTACCGTTATGCGAGAATACTTCTGCAAATGGAGGCTTCGGCCCAATGCGACGAAAACTGAAGTGTGGTGTTTCCATCTGATTAAAAGCCAACAAAAAAACTCCCCGTTTACTTTCAAAACATCAGATCTTTCTTCACTCTACTTTCAGATCATACACCCTCTGACTTGTATACTCGGCGGCTGAATATGCTTCCCCGGTATGGCTCAATAGCAAACACACGAAGATTATTAACACCCAATTAAACCATACAATGCGAATCATCTCAGATACAATTAGATCCACACCAAACTATTGGTTTGGTGTGGATGTATGTATGTGACTCAGAATTCCCATTCTGAGTCACATTCCACCTCCGAAACTGTTAAATGTTGAATTATTTATAGTATTTTTAGATATTTTTTGGTAGTCTTTCTTCCCCCATGCGTTTAACATGTCCGTACTATGTTAGTTGTTGTTTTCCGATGTCTTCTGGTACCACCAGAGAAAAGAATGGGTACCACCAGAGAAAAGAAAACGAGGACGACCACCAACAACATGGATGCAATCAAAAGCAATGTCAGCAAGAAATCTATCTGAAGAATACTAGCAGAATAGACAGGCTTGGCGAACGGGAACCTAAAGGCGGATTACGCTATGAACGAGATATTTTTTTAATATCCTTTTTAGTGAAACTGTTTCATCACTCCACATTATATACATTATATCATACTATTTTCGTATCTATGAAAAGTGTCGTTAAACCAGGAAAACGTTTGAATCACGGGAATTCGATTTCTGACCAATGCAGACGTACCTAGACCGATGATGGAGACACATCCCCTGATCACCCTCCCGGCTGTGTTTATCTTTACTTTGTCTTGAAAATCAACGGACCTAATGCATCTACATAAATTTAAAAAAAAATCACCTTCATCACTAAATACATTCAAGGACTCTGTAATGACTGACTGGACAAATTAAGTGCAGTAACCTAATCTATATTAAAAATGTCAAAGCTCAATCGAAAGCTAAGTGTGTCTGGGAGTTAATTTTCAAATCTCAAAGAATTTAAAAAAAAATGCACGTTCACTCTTTATACCTTGTAGCCGTATACGTTTTTTTGGTTTGAGGTACGGATACGCTTTGAACAGTTTGAATGAACCTAAAAAGCACAAAGATTTAGTTTCATTGTTACAGTTATATTGGATTCGGAAAATGTTATTTCGTTTTATTTGTTTTTATCTGAATATATTTCGTACCGATAAAATTTAAGCAATTGGAGAAACACCTATAATATGTTTCCTACAAAATTCATTATATTTATATAATTCACACATCAACTATTGTTTCATTACCGAAGTGGTTGATTATTTGATTTTTTTACAATTATATATCTTTTTAAAAATCAAAGTGTATGGTGTACAAATATGGTGTACCATAGGTTTTACAGTCAATATCCCAACCAACACACACACACACACAGACACACACACGCACACACACACACACGCACACACACACGCACTCATATAATACATCGACACACATGCATGTGCTGTGCCTACGCATGTGCATACGAGCCTCAATAGAAGGAACTGCAGATGATATAGACCAAGAGAGAAAAACTAGTGTGCACAAGTAAATAAAGAAATAGATAAACATCAAGCAACAGTGAGATGAGCCCTTATGAGCTAGCTATTTTGTAGCATAATTAAACTCCTTAAACTATCCAATATTCGAGTAATAAAAAATCTTCTAGTACGCCCCTGCTTAGTATAAAATATTGCCGAGTCTCTTGTATTTACATTCTAAATTTCAGCTACCGCTGGAAGTTAAAATAATTCATATATTACGTCTTAGTTCTTCTTCTTCTCATGACGCCGTCTCCTTTCGAAGGTTGGCGATCCAAATTGCAATTGAATCTGTACTTTCCAGTATAACTTGAAGTAATTCATATTTTTCGCCTCTCAACACATGACCCACGTACTGCATTTTCCTCTCTTTGATTATTCTTAGTAATTCTTTTTGTTTACACATTCGGTGAAGTACCTCAAGATTAGCAACTCTTTGTACCCATGGAATTTTCAACATTCGTCTGTATATATACATCTCAATGGCATCTATTCTTTTTTTCTATTTCAGAGTCCATTGTCCAACTTTCACAGCCATACAGTAAGACAGAAAAAACGTAACATCTAAGCATTCGGATTCTAAGCTGCAGACTAAGGTCTGATCGTGTAAAAAAAATGTTTTCATGCTCATGAATATTTTCCTTGCTTGTTCGATTCTTACTAGTATTTCTTTTTTAGATTACACTGATTATAGATATTTACTCCCAAACATTTTATGGAATTTACCTGTTCTAGCATTTGACCTTTAGCATACACATGTACGTTTATTGGTGTCTTTGAAAATACTAAAGTTTTAGTTTTGGAAACGTTTAGATGTAAACCCAACATTTCGCTGTGGTGAACTACCGCATTTATTAAATTTTGTAGTTCTTGTGCGTTGCTTGCTATTAAGATAGTATTATCGGAATATCTGATGTTGTTTATGCTGATTCCGTTAATCAATTCCGCCTTGGACCTGGTCTAATGCTTCTCCGAATATAGACTCTGAATACAAATTAAACAGTAGCGGTGATAAGACGCAACCCTGTCTCACTTCTCGTCGGATTTGTATATCTTCGGATGTTGTGTGCTCTATTTCAATTATTGCCGTTTGGTGCCAGTATAGTTCTGAGATAATTCGCAAGTCTTGTTCGTTGTTCAGTTGTTCTCAGAATTTCGATAATCTTTTTATGGTTAACACAGTCAAATGCTTTTCGATGGTCAATAAAACATCCATATACATCTACATTCATGTCTCTGCATCGTTGCGTTAACACATTTAAAGCAAAAAGAGCTTTTCGTGTTCCCAATCCCTTTCGAAATCCGAATTGAGTGTCACTCATCTGGAACTCACATTTCTTATAAATTCGTGTATGAATAATTCTGAGAAAAGTTTTAAGGACATGAGACATCAAGCTTAATATTCGATAATCATCGCATTGTGAGGAATTCGATCTTTTTGGTAATGCTACGAATGTTGATTTTAGCCAGTTTGTTATCTTAGTGAAATCTGCAACCATATTACTGCAATCTGCGCTATATGCAGTTCCATTATTTCTGCTGCCTTCCATTAAGGCAGCAAAGGAAAGGTACAAGATCAGAGGTTGTTAAGAATAATTAAAGTTGACATCGAAAATGACCATTTTCATATACATAATACCAAATGGAGACGATTTGTGGTTAGGACGTACAAAAAGAACAATCGAACATATGTCCACATGTGGATAGAAAAAGATAGAAAAAAAGAGAGGAAGAGATGTTCGAAGGTTGGTCAATTGGCGCCACCTATACGTCTTATTGGGACTTATTAAGCTTATTTGTTAAGTGTGCATGGATATTTAAACTTAATTGATGCTAACAGCTTTAAAATATATAAAATTACAATGATTCTGGACTAACTAAATAAAAAATCAATAGGAGTAGATTTTAAACCAAACCAAAAACAAATCAAAAATAAGTACCTAATATAATTTTAGGGAATGCCAAATAAGAATTTGGTGTAACTGTTAACAATTGTCTTCAACTTAACATTAAATTTGTAAATTGTAATTCCGTATTTTAGTAATTACTATATAAAGTTCAACAGATGATCAATAACGTACAATGAATTTTGTAGGAACTTTGTTAGAGACAGTTGATAGATATATCAATTCTTCAAATTGATAGGTTACGCGACATTCGGTAATAATAATAATATATTAAATATTTAATTTGGATTACCAAAGAGTTTTTTTTTAACCAATCGATAAAAGTCGACAAATTCCTTTCCCTGTGACAAGCACAACATTCAACAAAGAAATAAAGATTCACATCGGTTTGGCGAAAGAATTCAATGTAAGTTTCCACTAATTACGTTTCAATCGATATTGATTCGAAAGAACCAGTAATTAATCGTCTTGTTACTATATTAACTAAAAAATGAAATACAGAACGATTTAAATCTACATTTTGTTCCACCGATGACGTTTAAAATATATTTATAAAATTAATATTCATGAACGTGGGGCGAAATCGAAAATCATAAATACCGCTCAAAAAAAAAATTTAATAGTTTATGTATTAAATATTAGCGGTATAGATTATATCGAATATAGAGAATTAGCATAGACTGCGGAGAGGTTTGCGACAAGAGACGAATGCACTTCACAGCAGTAGTGTTCACGGACGCGACTAGTTCGAGCTCGAGACGCAATATTCACTCGAGACACAGTTTCCTGTTTGCCTGCAATTTTCCCTTGCATACTATTTTGTAGCAATCTATATTTCAGATCTTTCATGACAGGATCTCGGTAAAAGAAAATCTATTTTGGTTACATTTCGGATATTTTTTATCTAGATAAAGCGTGGTGTATTAAAGATTACGCTGTCAACACATTTTGACAGAATTGAAGTAGTTAAAAGTGGAGAACAGACAATTCCTGTAGGTTTGTCAATCTTGCGAATAAACGGCGATCAAAATTTCTTAATTCGCATTATAATTGGGGAAGAGATGCGGTTTTATAGCTACAACGTGGAAAAAGGTCCAAGTGCCCCAAATCAGACTGAATTTGGGATTCCCTGTTTTTTTTTCGATTGGAAGGGTGTGGTGTACAACAAATTCCTGCCACAAAATGGTTGATGCGAAATTTGAACGAATATATGCAAAACATCGTGAGCTTCATCAGATTTTAAATAAACATTTGATAGAGAATGCAGGGACAGACTGTGGACAGCGATGCAGGAACTTGGCTTTCCAAAAAAACTAGTCAGGTTGATAAGGATGTGTATGGAACGGTTACGATGTAAGGTGAGAGTTGGACAACAATACTCGGAGACATTTGAAATAAACAATGGACTAAAACAAGGAGATGCACTTTCACCGCAACTTTTCAACTTAGCTCTGGAGCACATAATCAGAAGTGCAAGAATCGAAAAACCGAATACAGTATTTCATCGAGAAGGACCAAACTTACTACTGGCATTTGCAGAAGATATCGATCTAATAGGAAACACACGATTAAGGATGAAGGAGACTTTCGTGAGGTTCGAGAAGGAAGCAGAGAAGATGGGGCTCCAAATCAACGAAAACAAGACGAATGATATGTATATGAGCCGCAATAACCAAAGCAGAGACAGAATCGGCCAACACATCACCATCGATGACTTTAACTTTGAGCACGTTAGAGAATTCAAGTATCTTGTAACAACAATAACTGAAGACAATAACGGATCACAAGAAATAAACAACAGGATTCAGGCCGGCAACAGATGTCTTTTTGCCCTCCAAAACCTTATAAAATTGAAACAACTAACAAGACGTACCAAGATACAGGTCTATAAAACAATTATACGACCCGTTGTAATGTATGGAAGCAAAACGTGGACAATAACAAAGGCAAACGAAGAGCGACTATGTGTTTGGAAAAGAAAAGGAAGATCTTTGGTCCTGTGTTGGATGAAGCATCAGGACAATATAGGATAAGAACTAACAAAGAGCTCGAAAAACTTTACCCAGACGCCAATATCATAAAAGAAATAAAGTCCAGAAGACTCCAATGGGCAGGAGACCTCAGAAGACATTCTGACGAACGAACAGTACGAATGGTGTAGGAGGAAGTCTCAAGTGGAAGGAGACCACGGGGACGCCCTCGTCTTCGGTGGCGAGATAATATAGCAAGAGACCTAAGCACTATGGGCGTGGAGAATTGAATGGAGGTTGCTCAATGGAGAATTGGATGGAGGTTGCTCAAGACAGAAAACAGTGGAGGCATGTTGTCTAGTAAAAACCACGAAGGGTTGTAACGCCACGGAGTAGTAGTAGTATATGCAAAACAACAAACTAGAGCTGAGGCAAAATATGGAATGAGTAAGATGACAATGCACAAATTGATTATGCGTTATTGTTCAGCCATATACTCACCAGACCTAGCTTCTGCAGACTTTTTCTTGTCTTCCAAACGCAAGCGATGTTTGAAACAGCAGAAATTTGACTATATTGAAAAAAATCAAAGAAAATCGCTGGTAGAACTAAAAAACGTTCTACAAACAGGATTCCTGCTGGATTAAAGACTATATTTTGTCAATTTTGTTCTTTAAACTGAAACGAAGTAAGCGGCCTAACATAAAAGTGAAGATTAAAACATGGTAAAATCGAAATTCACTTGGTTTTAAAAGCATAGATTGCAGAGGGCTTACGACGACAGACAAGTGCACTTCAATGGTGGCGAGTAATTTATTATAGTCAGCGATTTAAAAGTCTTCGAAATTAACCTGAACGTAAACTTATAATTAATCATTTTAACGAATGAGCAGACATGATTTCTTTTAGGAAAGACAAATTACTACCTTGGACAAAGTTTTCAATGTAATTAACCAGGATTCAGCTTACCCTACAGTGCACAGCGATATGCTTTGGAATATATTAAAAGAACGAGGAGATCGCTGAAAGAAAATCAATTTTGCTGGATATTTTCATCTAAATAAAGCGCATTTCTTGCAAGTTTGTGAATATTGCGTGTATTTTAATATATATATTAACAAAATGATGTACTTTATAAAGTCTTGTGAATAAATTACTTATTTTAAATTTGAACTCTTACCTCAAACCGACTACAGAAGCTTAGATTAGCGACATTACTGTAGATAAGCTCTACATAAGCGATTCTCTAACAAGAAATATCATTTTCGAGCTTACCTGTCACTAAGTCTAAATACTGGTAAATTTTATTAAATTTACCTTCGTATTGGAGGCTGTGTTCGCGATGGAGGTAGTGTCCGAAGGCGTTTGGTGAATCGGGAGGCGTGGTGACGCCCATAGTCCTATTCTCTAGGCCGGAACCGCTTTCGCTTTCGTCGGACTCTTGAGGGTTTTCGGCTTCTAGTTCGCGTTGTCGCTGCAGTTCTTGTTCTCCTCTTTCAACTTCATGAATACCTAGAGTTATTTTATATTATAGCGAAATAATGAGATTAAGTAATTAACTGTTTATTTCATAGATGTATGTATATACAGTGCGTTAAGTTTTGGATTAGGTATACACTCTATAAATGGCAACACTGCGCGTCGTCGACTTGCCACTACATATCTGCTTCGTTGACTCGTCGCCCGTCGGCAAATTTGTCATATTGTCATTATACCGTGGTTGTTTAAAGGTATAACAGCGTAGAGTTTTAATTTATTTTTGTAAACATGTCTGTTTATATGGCCGCGGAAAAAGCTCAAATAATAAATTGGTTTTATAGTGGCAATTCTGCGCAACAGTGTGTAGATTTATTTTCTGTGTTTTTTGAGGGAAGACCAATTCCTTGTGTACAGTCAATTTATAATATTGTTAAAAATTTTGAGAGTTGTTATTGCCTCAAAAATTGCAGAAAATGTCACGCTCAATTTTACCAGAAAAAGTTGAGGAAAGAGAATACTGGGATACACAAATTTGTGCAACAATCGAGGTAGATTCAACACGTTCAAGTAGAAGCGTTGCTAGAGAGTTAAATGTTAGCAATGTTACTGTAACGAAAGTATGGAAAAAGCACGGTTACAAGAATTAGTTACAAGTAAATATTCGAAAACGCAGCAGCTTTATCCAGACGATGACTTTCGAAGAATGGAGTTTTGTGAAACTCTAATAATGGAGGCTAATAGTGAACCAAATTTTATTAAAAACATTTTATTCACTGATGAATCTTCTGTTTCGTTAGTAGGGAGACACAATCCTTCCATTACGAGGTATTGGGCGCGGGAAAAGTAGCACACAAGTGTTGTTTACCGACCTCAACGTCCTCAAAAAGTTAACGTCTGGACTGGCATTTTAGGAGACCACATAATAGGTCCTTTTTTTATTGAGGGCAACTTGAATAGTAGAGTATACCTCGATTTGTTACAGAATCATGTTCTTCCCGCTATTCTCAATCTTCCTGATGTAAATCTGGAGAACATTTGGTTTCATCAAGACGGCTGTTCAGTTCACAACGCTCGAATTATTAGGGAGTATTTAAACAATACTTTCCCGAATCGAGCTATCAGTGGAACAGGCGATATTAAGTGGCCTGCGCGATCTCCAGATCTTACACCCATGGACTTCTTTTTTTGGGGACATTTAAAAAGCATTATCTACGATCATCCTGAGGCTAGAGCCCAAAATTTGGATGAATTAAAAAATCGAATAAGAGAAGTCTCCAATTCTGTTACAGCAGAAACTCTTTCATCTGTTCGCAGAAGTTTTTATGACAGATTGGGGTACTGTTCAGCAGTAGAAGGTCAACTATTTGAACCATTTCTGTAGGTCATAAAGAATTATTTTTTATTTTATTAGGAATAATATTTTAATTTTCAATAAGAGTATATTTTTTATTTTATCTTTTTAAAGAAATACGCTTTTATTTTTAATTCAACCACAAAAAAATTTTCACATTAATAAAAATCGATAACAATGCACCGATTAGGTCAGTGCATTTTTATCGAATTTCCTACTATTAAAATCGGCAAACGTTGTTGTGAGTTACTAAACTAAAATGATTTTAACAATCGTAAAATAGTTTCGAAACACAATTCAGATTTCTGCTTTTATCTGTGCTTTCTAAAAATTGCAAAGCAAAACAGACGTTGATAAAGGTGTTAAAAGTCTATCAACGTGTTGTAAAAGTGTATCAACGTCTGTTTTGCTTTGCAATTTTTAGAAAGCACAGATAAAAGCAGAAATCTGAATTGTGTTTCGAAACTATTTTACGATTGTTAAATTAGATGTCGCTAGTGCGTCCGTATTCGAAGCCATGTTATTGTTGCTTCTTAAAAGACAGAAAATATTGATCTTTCACGTTGAGAACACCTTTGAATAACTGTTCTGATGAGACCTATTAGGTCGAAATACGTATCAACAGATACAAAGGCGCTGTTTGCGTGAAATCAAATATTTGCTGTCTTTTTCACTAAAATGATTTTCTTTCGGTGCAGATAGTCTCGGGTCGGAGATAGAGATGATACGAAATACTAGGAACAAGTATTTGGTAATAGGTATGAGCATATAACGTAACGTAACAGTTACCGGTTTTCTAAAATACTAGTTCCAGTTCCATCTAGATTTGTTCAACGACACGACGCGACACAGAATGTATCAAGCCTGGTAACTGTTACTGGTACTATTACTGTACACAACACAATAACGCCGATACTCGATATCTGAGCTGTACTTTGTTATCGATATTTTGGTATTGGTATTAGGAATACTTTTGGATACCGATACGCACAGGGATCAGTTGCATTTTTGGGTAGGTAATATTTCTAGTTTGTAGGTACTTAGGATTGGCGGTTCGGACGTCGGAATTATTACGGTGGTGTATGCAAGATGTGAAATTAAATGTATTAAATCTGTCATTATATTGGTTCCTTGTTTTTACTATATTATTCTAGAAGTATTTTAATTTAATTTTGTTTGAGTGTAACACATATTTCTTATGAAACTAAAATAAAAGAGTATATAAATTTTCTGCGTGTGCAAATAACTTTTTAATATATTGAAAATATAAAAAAAAGTAAATAAACATTACATTTGATATGGGATAATAGGACCCATATAACATTGTAAGCGATACTTATTGATGCCTTTTGCTTATTTTTACGGGTGGCGTGGAGTCCCATTTATATTTTGTATTATAATAGAATAACTATTTTGTTTATGGTAAAACATATTTATTTAAATAAAAATGTAATTCTTAAAATATACATATTATTTACTAAAATAAACTAGATAAGTGTATCTAATACAAAAATAAAAAAAATGAAATCGTTTAAAAAAATAACAAAATAAAAAATATAACTTATATGTAAAAAATTAGAAAAAATTTGAATTAACACTTAAAAATAATAATTGCTCTAATTTATTGGCTTTCAAGCGATTTCGTTTTTCCGTTAACAATTGCCCTCCTTACAGACTGCGACCTGCGCCTGGAATAGACGTAGAGTACAAATGTAAAAAATACTAGGTTAAAAAGTAACTAGTATTTGGAACAGGTACGAACATGGAACCGGAACGTAACGTAACTGTTACCGAAAAATACTCATTTGTATCATCTGTAGTCGGAGATCGAACATTTGCAACGTTGCCGATTTTAGCGCTCCGTATAGTGTGCAATACCTAATCAAAAACTTAACGCACTGTATTAACATATACTGAGCAATCTGTAGAGCTAAATGACGACACTGTGATGTGTGACGCTCTGTCATATGTCAAGTATGTATAGCAGCGTCTATTTTTAGTGTGGGAGAGGAGAGATTCAATGCGATAGATATTTATGGAATTTAAAAACGATGTTTTTTTAAGATTTTCAACAGATGGCGCCAGGGTTATTACCGCGACTTTAACAAACTTAAATTCATTTTGACTACGTCACGTAATTTCAAGTTTTTCATAAGGGAATCGCTTGAATATGTCATGCTGCAATGGCCTCGGATTTATGCCATATTCTTGTGTATTTTTATTTTACTAAAATTTCTAAATGTTTTTAATTTGCAGTTATCAAAATTTCTGTAGCCGTCTTTAAATGTGTATTGTTTGTGCCAATTAGCGTAATTTGTTATTTCAAACATGCTCATACTTTTCGTTTTCTTTTTTATCTAACCACAAAAAAATACTTTTTTCCGCAAATCGCCAGGAAATTTTGACATTCCTGTCAAAATTTCTTGAAGAAAAAGTCAGGACTTCCTTACTGTAAGGAAATGTCATTTCCTTACTGTAAGGAAATGATATTTCCGTACAGTTGTTAGTGTTAACCAGCAATTAAATTTATAAGCGTCAAGTTTGACAATTCAACCTCAATACGTTTCCATAGTAACCCAAGTAATTTTATTAGGAATTTCAAAGCACCATTTATTTGGGAATAAAATTATCGCGTTTTTTTTTAAATCAATCAATATCTGTCGAATTTTAAACGATTTGCGGAAAAATAGTATGTTTACCTCGTAGGAAAAGCTACATTCCTGGACTCTGTGTTGCTAAGTCTCGCTAAATCTTCACAGTCGTCCAGGAATGTTAAGCTTTTCCTACCCGGTAAACAATGTACTATTACATTCTGTCTTTTCTAGTCAACTGTCTAAAAATTTTATTAACTGCATTTAGTATCTCTGCACTTAATCAAGATGCTTTCGTTTTTTTCGTATTTCGTAGATACACGATTATATTTCAGAATATTTAAATAAATAATAAGTTTGAAACAAGTTACCTAACAACAGGCTGTAGTCCATTAAATGTAACTTAGTGAGAAAGTCTACATCTGCCGTGAGAGTTTCCATAAGTTTGGCTTTGGCTTCTTCTCCTATTGTCACCTGTTGATGAGAAACATCATTAGTTATTGAAATATTAACGCCGTTGAAAAACAAGTAATCAACACAGAAATTGGCTTAAAATATTTGCATAGTACTTTCACTTGATGCCAATATATTAAATAAATTAGGTGTAGTATGCAAATTTTATAGCGTGCGTTAATGAATTCAAAAGAGTTGGCGAACAAATGATGCCTGTCTATATAGGTAAGTTGGAAATAAATGAGATACTTGATGGATTCGACCGTTACTTGATGGAAATTCATTTTATGTAACAATAAAACACTGAAAACTTTGTTTTTAAACTTCCACAAAATTTATTTTAAATCTTATCACTACAGCTGTTTCGGCTGATTGCCTTTCTCAAGTGATCTATTTTTGGCTTGGGTTTACAAATTTATAGTCTCTAATGAAATAGGTTGTGGAGGGGAGAACTGTTTGTCTCAAGTTGGTCATTCAGAATTATATCTGTGTTTTTTTAATTTGTTGATTTCCATAGATTCTAACAAAGATAGCTTAAGGCCTTTATTTTGAATGTGAAGAATTTTAAATTTGTCATTAAAAGAATGATTATGATCTAGAAGGTGAAGTGCGTATGTCGAATCTGTTTTTCTATTCTTGAAAGCTCTTTTATGTTCTGCTATTCGTTTATCAAAGTTTCTACCAGTTTGACCGATGTAAGTTTTTGGGGCACCAGGTCCTGGCAATATTCCACCTGAGCTACTCAAGTACGGTAGGTACAAGCAAATTATATAAGCATCTGGACGGCATTTACCAAAAATGTATTAACGGAGAGAGTATATCGGAGGAGTGGAGGATATCGTTTATCACGACAATACATAAGAAGGGAAGTAAAGATGTATGTGACAATTATCGAGGAATCGCAATCCTTAGCACCATCTCGAGAGTTTACGGAAAACTCATCAAAAAGAGAATGGAAGATGAATTCTGTGATATGGAGGCCGAAGAGCAAGTAGATCATCTATTGACCATCTGTTTATTGTTACCCAACTAATCGAAAAAACAAAAGTAGCACGAAATCCACCAATACATCTTCTCTACGTGGACCTTAATAAACACAGAATGGATGAACACATAATACCAAAGAAAGTGTTGAACTGGATACAACATGGAAGAGAAAAGTAAGGTAGACCCGAGATCAAGTTGGAGAGAAGGAATCGATAAAGATTTAAGGGAGAGGGGAGTTGAAGAAAACCTTTGGAACGAACGAGATAAATAGAGACTGGAAATCAGAAAACGGCGTAGAACGTTATAAGCTGATTGATTGATTGGAATGGTTTTAAGTTAAAATTCTAAAAATCAGTAATTTTTTACTTAAATTGTTAATAAATAAAAATTTACGAAAATATTTTGAATGAATTTGCACAACTTTTGTTATTCTATCCATATAGAACCTAAAACAACTGCTGAGTCGTAGTAGTCTAGGCGGGATCTGTTTTGGATTGGACATTATCCATAGGAAGCTATTTTTTGCTGGAATCCCTTCAGGATGTGCCCAATATCGATAATCACGATATGCGCCAGTCGCAAACCCTGTGTTAAATTTTTATTTAACAAAATCTGAAAACAATTAAAAATTTCTCATTTTTTTGCTCCTAGAGAAAAAATTATAAGAAGTTAAAAGTTTCGTTATTCAATTTTACACAACTGGCACAACTTTTATTCCAACTAATGGAATACCATTAGCTAGAAATTGAAAGTTTGATGTTTATTGTTGAAAAATAGCAATAATTGAAAAAAAAGTACAAAAAAATGAAGTTAATCCTTTAAATGTTTTCTATTTTCTAAACTTGACTTACAAGCTCCATATTCCGCCTAGAAAAACTTTTTAATATGTTTAAAACGTGTGCTAAACTTTGTTAAGATCGGTCGGATAGGGTTTGCATAATAATTTTGCAATCCAGCCTACTGGAAAAAAATCGCAAATTTTCAAATTTATAGTAGGCCCTAAATAAGACCCTCAGATAGTTGCAATTTTTTTGCATATAAAGGAAGGCTCAAACTTTCAAACGTTTTTTGTAAAATTCAAATCGGTTTACTAGGAGAGCCTAGAAATTTTTTTAAAGTTTTAAACATTTAGGCTTATAAACAAATTGAATAACTTTACAAGCTATAAACATATCAATTTCAAAATGTATACACTTGAACATTAAAAAAAAAAAAATACATTCGGCTTACTGGTTGCCGAGATATTGAAGGTCAAAGTTGGCATACATTTGCCGTGTAACCATAAGTGTTAGAGGGCTCGTTTTTAAACAAATGCCCTCGTCTTGTCAAGTAAATTTTATATGAAAAGTTTTACGTAATGAGCTTCATGGCAACATCCATAAAAACGACAAATAAAAAACCGTTTGCGCGTAAAATGTCGCTCCGACTGCATGAGAGGTGGTGGTGGGAGACATTCATTCGAAATGTGAATCGGCGAGTTCAAAATCATAGCGCGCGCTAAAAATTGCATTATCTCGGTTTCTTGTTTTTCAAGGATTTCAAATATTTTTACTATTTTCAAATAATATAAAAATTCTTCATTGCATTTACAAACACGTTAAAATATGTAAATACAAGTTGTAAATAGTATATAGTCATAATCTGTTATATGGTTTGAAAAAAAAAAAAAAACAAAAAAAACGTATACCACAAATTAATAAAAAAAAAAGAATTAAGAAAATAGAAATAGAACAAAAACAAAAGATAAATACAAAAGAAATAACAAAAAAAAAAGAAAAAAACAATACAAAAAACACAAAAAAACCAAAACAAAAAAATTAAACAAAAAAAAGAGAAACCAAAACAAAAAAAACAAGAAAACAAAAGAATAAAAAAACAAAATAAAAATATATTAAAACAAAATTTATGTATCTATAAAAATATTAGGTATATGTAGTAATAACATTGATAACTGATAAGAAAATTTTGACTATGAATCTGCAATCTATAATAATTAAAATTCAGTCGATTTTAACAATCAACACAAACAAGTCTGGCTAATTGGCTCTGCCAAAGCCATAAAAAAAAATCATATTTTCAAATACCATTTTTAATTGCAAATTATTGGGAAATTTTTGAAAAATCATGCATTTTTTTTGAACTTGCAATTTATACATTAAAGTAAATTGTTACTTTTAGTAAACAAATATGTATTTATAAATTGTTAATAAATAATTTGAATTGTTAAAACAAAGGCGAACGATTTTTTTATTGTAATAATCAAACTTTTTAAAATAATTAATATTGAAAATAATTTATTTCTGCAGTTTTATCAAAATAATGACATTATTTGATTTGAGAAGATATTTTGATTCGAAAATGACGTGTGTATTGTAAGTGTTATTATACTGCTGTTGAAATTGATATGTTTAAAGCTCGTAAAGTTATTCAATTTGTTTATAAGCCTAAAAAATTTTTAAAACTAAAAAAATTTCTAGTTTGAGCCTTCCTTTATATGCAAAAAATTGCAACTATCTGAGGGTCTTATTTAGGGCCTACTATAAATTTGAAAATTTGCGATTTTTTTCCAGTAGGCTGGATTGCAAAATTATTATGCAAACCCTATCCGACCGATCTTAACAAAGTTTAGCACACGTTTTAAACATATTAAAAAGTTTTTTTAGGCGGAATATGGAGCTTGTAAGTCAAGTTTAGAGAGTTGAAAACATTTAAAGGATTAACTTCATTTTTTTGTACTGTTTTTTTTTTCAATTATTGCTATTTTTTCAACAATAAACATTAAATTTTCAATTTCTAGCTAATGAAATATTGTGTAAAATTGAACGAAACTTTTAACTTCTTATAATTTTTTCTCTAGGATCAATATTTTCCGAATTATAAACGAAAATAGGAGCAAAAAAATGAGAAATTTTCAATTGTTTTCAGATTTTGTTAAATAAAAAATTTAGCACAGGGTTTGCGACTGGCGCATATTGTGATTATCGATATTGGGCACATCCTGAAGGGATTCCAGCAAAAAATAGCTTCCTATGTAAAATGTCCATTATGGTCTAAATTTCTACAGATCCCGCCTAGTCTATAGTTACAGTGACTGTCAAAAACACTGTATTTTTACTTATTTCCCTAGTCTAGAAATAAAATATATATACCAGACATATAAGGTTAATTAACGACTTCCTCAAATTAAAATATACCTAACAACTGCTTGACGTGCAAACGTTTGGATTTATTCTGCAAATACAATAAAAGTGTGCCTCATTAATGTAGAAAACGAGGCAATAAGCGGATTAATTTGTAAAAGTAACAATATAATTATTGTGAAATGTTTCATCAAAAAATTACATCCGTATTTTTGTGTTGGGTGCAAAAAGTAAATGTTTCCTTAATTAGATAGCAAGATCGGGAAGCGATACGGCACGATATTAAAAGAATTACAATCATAAATTTACAGATATTGCAACAACAAGCGGCACATTGTAGGAAAATTGTTGAGACTTCTATAGAAAATAGAATATGTAACAATAAAACACTGAAAACTTTGTTTCAAACTTCCACAAAATTTATTTTAAATTGTCATCACAACAGCTGTTTCGGCTGAGTAGTGATAAGAATTTAAAATAAATTTTGTGGAAGTTTGAAACAAAGTTTTCAGTGTTTTATTGTTACATATAATGAATTTCCACGAAGTAAAGGTCGAATCAATCAATTATTTAAAATAGAATATTTACACCAACGTTGGACACTCTTATAGAGTATCTAAATTGTAGGCACTAAATTCCAAGAAATGGTATATGACCGTTCTGTTATTTTTGGTCTTCCAGTGGCGTACACTTTTTTTTTGTAAGAGTGCGATAGCATTACTTGTATTGAAGAATTTTTACAAAGTATATGAACATACTAACTACTATTATCTCCCCAGCGCTAAGAAATTTCAAGCAAAATATGCATACAACATGTTCAAACTAAACAAAATAATTAAATTTGATCAAAATAAAATTTACGTGAAGATGTATAAGAGGTGAAACCATTGTATCAATTGTAAATTTTTATGATAAACTCTGGAATAACGATGTATTAGATCCATAAGATTTTGTATTTTTCAGTTTTTTAATTACAGATTCATATAATTCGCCGATAATGTTGAACATTATCAATATGACTAATAAATTATTGCAATAGCTCTTTACCATTAGAAAGGTTTTTTTTTGGACAATAGCTGATGTTTCGACTTTTTGTAGATATCGAACTACTTTTTATTTCCGAACTACAGCGATATTTTCTGATATTCTTTTTCAACAAATAAACCAATTGGTATTTATTTTTGCTATAAAACTGTCATAGTAATAATAATTTGGATTTCGTAAGTAAATAATAGATAACAAAGAAATATAAACTGGATAATTAAAAAGTGGAAATAGCTTGGCTTAGAGAAAAAATCTTAAAAACTGAGTAGTGACTACCAATGATGATACTAACAGGATTTGAAACGTGTTAAACAAAGAAATATTTAAAAAATAGATCATGGAACACGTTAAAGCAAGTGTTTAAAGAAGTATTGGGACCGTGCAAGTTTGGAAGAGCGACACCTGGTGTCGTAAATCAGCAAAATTTACTGCGCTTTCATGTTAGAACGAGGTTACCGGATAACTGTCAAGGACGTAGCCCCAAAAAAGAATAAGAAGAAAAAGTAAGATTGAGGTTATGTCGGTATGTTATTAAAAGGTAAACGTTGTATGTAGTGTAAATACAAATAAATACAATATTAAATTAATAATTAAATCACCAAATAACTTTTCAACCAATCACTGAGTCAAAGGGAAAAGCTTTAGTAGTGGCAAATTAGGTTAAGAATGTGGAAGAATTAAGAAAAAATGAACAAAGCTATGTAATAGATAGCTAAACTTAAAGTTACATCAGTATTAAACTTGATTTTTGGGTTAAAGTGAACTCTAAGTGAGTGTTATGAAACTAAAATTTTCACTTAAACGTGAACTTTGATTTATTTCAAACTGACTTTAAAATGGGGCGCAAGAATAATGCATAATTTAGGTTATGTTACTTACTTATGCTTTTTTATTATATAAATCCACTTTTTCGTTGTAGTAATTTGTGCTTCGAAGTTGGAAACGAATAAAACTTAAATTGATAATTTTTTGTTGTATTTTGACAATTTATAACACAGCATTTACTAAATCCCATTTTCTTCAGTGTCAGAAGGTGTAAATAAACAAACTAATATGAAATATGACAATTTGACAATTGACAATATGAATTTATGAAATCTATGAAATGTGCAGTAAAGAATGCAAGATTTCTCCGCTACTCGCGCACGATCGTTTCTCGTATCACATCCAAGTACTTGCACGTCGCCAATACTGGAATGTACTAGCAATTATGGATAAAAGTCATGACATTCAGATAAGTTTGTATGACATTATTACTATACTGTGAAAATTTCCAATTATAGCTAATTCGAATTGAAAATTTTAAAAGATTTAACAACATTGTATAGGTAAATTCTTACCTTCATCTGCTCATTAACGAAATCGTTATCCTTTAACGTGGGCAGCTCCTTTTCCCTTTCTTTTTCCGAGGCTTCCCTGTCGACAGTGGATCCTTTGAGATCGAACTTCCTGTGTGTGCTTAAGTGATTTGAGAATACGTTTCTACTTACTACTATATAGTGTTCGACGTTGTCTACCGTTAGACGATACATACCAAGGTACTGCGGCAGAAGCGTCTTGCCGTGTCTTTCTACAATATACTATTTAAAAACAAAACATTATGTAACCAGAAAGAACCTTCAATATACTTATAAAATTTAACATTATTATTACAGACACCTGTACATTTGGACAAAGAATGGTTAAGTGTTACGTTTGGTCCCTACATTTGTATAGTGCAGAAGTGTGGACGCTAAAAGTATCGATTATGAACAAAATTGAAGCATTGGAAATGTGGGCCATAGACGAATGCTGAAGATACGTTGGATAGCAAGGAAAACTAATGGGAGGAATGGAAGGAAACAGGTTTCTTGACTGAGGAACATTCTTTAATGGACTCGGATATCAAATGCTGGAAAATTATTCCATATTGCAGAAGATCGAGCAATGGTGATGGCAAGCCTTTGCAATGGTGATGGCCAACGTCTGATAATTCTGATGTGGCACGCGAAGAAGAAGGACAATTGGTTTTAAATGTAGTGATAAGCAGTTTTACGAAATATTTGATCGAATAGACCAGTGGTTCTCAACCGGTGTTCCGCGAATTCCTTCTAAGTGTTCCGCGAAATACTCGCAATCCTACATACCATTTTGCTAAATTACTCTTTTCAAATAAATATTTTCAAATTTTAAAATAGCCACTTACGTACATTTTAATTTAATAAAATTCTGCAGCGTAAATGTTCATTTGCCCAACGTGACAACACCGCGTCGGCACAGTGCACACGTTGGATTTTATAAGCGCTGAGCCAGAGAACATATCGTAGTTCTCTGGCTGAGCGCTGAGCTCCGCAGTGGCCACAGCCAATCTGAGTCACCCACGCCACAGTCTGCAACTGAATGTTGAATTTGTTACATTGCACAAACGTAATACGTGAAAATCGCTGTGTCAGTTTTTTATGATAACGTTTACGTACGGCTTATCTATCAAAGGTAAGTAATTGCATATTTTATACAAAATGTGAAGCATTCATCCGCATTATTTTGTTTAGAGACGAATAAATTAAAATGGATAAGTTCCTCAAACTTAAAAGAAAAACTACTGTGGAACAACTCATAATTAATAATGATGAAGCGAGCACCAGCGTTGATACTGGAACTTTACGAAGTGGGGTTGATGACAAATCGAAGCGCAGCAAAAAAATGTTGAACAGGCAATATTTGGATTATGGCTTCATTTGGAGTGGGGAAGAAGACTGTCCAATTCCAAGTGTATTGTTTGTGGGCAGACACTCGCTAATAGCGCAATGGCTCCGGCTAAATTAAAACGCCATTTTACTACCAAACACGCTAGTGTAGCTTCAAAAAATAAAGATTATTTCAAGCAACTTTTGGAGACACAAGCTAAACAAGCGAAACAATTTGAAAGGTCGCTAACAATTTCCGACAAAGCACAAATAGCTTCATATAAGGTCGCCGAATTAATTGCTTTGAAACAGAAACCACACACTGCTGCAGAATCTCTTATATTACCAGCATGTTGTGAGATGGCCAAAATTATGTTTGGCAACGATGCACAAAACGAAATACGGAAAATTCCTATGTCGGATGATACAATAAGAAGGAGGATTGTTGATTTATCTGCAGATATTGAGGAAAAAGTTACAAATAAACTTTACAAAAAAAACTTCGCATTGCAGGTGGACGAATCGACTGATATTAGTGGCAAAGCTCATTTATTAGGATTTATTCGATTTGTCGACGAAGGTGAAATAGTCAATCAGTTTTTATGCTGCAGAGAACTTACAGCACGTACAACAGGTCAGGATGTATTTGATTCCATAACGTCATATTTAGAGAAAAAAATATATTACGGGACTTTTCTGTAGGAATTTGTACGGATCGTGCCCCTTCCATGGTAGGCTCCATAAAAGGTTTTTGTACCCTTGCAAAAAAGCGAAATGAAAATATCATATCTACGCACTGTTTCTTGCATACAGAATCTCTATTTTTCTCCATAAAAGGTTTTTGTACCCTTGCAAAAAAGCGAAATGAAAATATCATCTCTACGCACTGTTTCTTGCATAGAGAATCTCTATTTTCAAAAACGCTACCAGCTACTTTGAAATCTGTATTAGACCAAGTGGTTAATGTCGTGAATTACATCAAATCAAGACCACTAAAAACTCGTCTTTTTAAACAACTCTGCATCTCAATGGAATCAAAGTATGAATGTTTGTTGCTGCACACCGAAGTAAGATGGTTGTCAAGGGGTAAAGTATTATATCGAATTTATGAACTTAGAACGGAGCTGTTAACTTTTTTCCAAGAAGAAGGTAATGACACATTTACCACATATTTTGAAAATGATGCATGGTGCACTAAAGTGGCATATTTGGCCGATATTTTTAATTATTTAAATGGCGTTAACTCAAGTATGCAAGGCAAAAATGAAAATATTTTAACATCCACGGACAAGCTGTCAGTTTTCCAGAAAAAATTGTCATTTTGGAAGAAGCGCATTTTAGAGACAAATAAAATGTATATGTTTCCACTGCATCAGAATGAAGGTGATGAAGATAAAGAACAAGAAATCACGCATATAGTTACAGAACACTTATCACTATTAGAGGAGACAATTGCCAGGTATTTTCCATCTCTGAACGTAGAAAAATATGACTGGATAAGAAGTCCTTTTAGCACAAGTAATACAGCCAATTTCCAGTTTTCTCTGAACCAAGAAGAAGAATTTATTTCGTTGTCATCTGATCGTACTCTGAAAATTAAGTTTTCAGAAGTGAATGTTCAGGAATTTTGGATCTTGGTCCAAGAGGAATATCCACTTCTTGCCAAAAAAGCGATTAGTATTTTAATACAGTTTTCAACGTCCTATTTATGTGAATTTGGGTTCTCATCTTTAACAAACATTAAAAATAAGAAACGGGAAAGGCTGCTAAACTTAGAACAAGAAATGAGAGTAGCTCTTTCCCACATCAGGCCTGATATTGAGCAAATTTTCAAACGACACCATGCACAAGTGTCTCACTAATTTGAAGTATTTACTCATATGATGTATTTTGAGAATTACGCTTTTGTTGATTTTAAAAATGTTTTTTGTTTTCATATTTTAAGTAAAATTTTACAAATTTGAGTACGTATAATAAAGTTTATTACAGAATTTATGTGCTAATTCTAATTTGTTTATCAATATATGCATGTTATTGCTTTGGTGTTCCGCAATTTTTTTCGGTAATTAAAAGTGTTCCGTCGCCACAAAAAGGTTGAGAACCACTGGAATAGACAATAGAGACAACTACGCAGTAGCGTCGCAACATTAAACGATTTGGGTCGAATATTTTATATTTGAAACATCCAGATATTGATTTACTCACTTTTACAAAGATTATGTAGTTATTAGGGACATTAGTTATCGAAGAACTGATAAAGGATTAATTACATGTGATGACGATGATGACCAAGTGGTATAAATAGTGGCGAAATGTCCATTTATTGTAATTATAATTTAACAAAAATATGTCACTGCTTAAGATTAAAAATACTTACAGGATGATAATGTTTCAAAAACGAATGCATCCTTTCTACCTCCTCAGACGTAAGGGTTTTAATTATAAAAATTTTATCGTAGCTTAGATAAAACTTAGCACCGCTTTTGCCTGACGAATCATCTGGCATTGGTTGTGATCTGAAACGAATAACTGCAATTAGAAGAAATGTTTATGCAACAATTCAATTAAATATTCAAAATCTGATAAAATTATTTTTTTTACAAATTAAAATTAGTAAAACCAGTATGTATAATAGTTCGTTAATTAAATTATGTAGCCTAAAAATTAATATTTTTACAGTAGACTGGGAGCAGAATGGAATTGAATGTATTGTTATGCCAAGCATTGTGTGCCAAGCTCTTGCTACGCGCCTGATCGAATATACTACACGAAGATTTGATCCACAGCTGTTGTAAGACCGCCGATAACATCCTACGGGGCTCAGAGAGCGTTTCGAACAGCGAGACAAAGTATATAGAAGTTTATCCTCGAAAGCTTTTATCTAAAATGTTATTATACGTAAACTATTGGATCTAAATAGAACAATTCTACGAAGACCTAAACAAAACTCTACTGCAGACAAAGAAGCATGAAACCAACATAATATTAGGAGATTTTAACGCCAAGATTGTGATTGTGTTCAACGACACGGTGGGGGAGTTTGGACTCGAAAAAAGAAATGAGAAGGGAGATAGACTGCTTCAGTTCTGTAAAGAAAATCAGTACAGTATAATGAACAGCTTTTTCAAGTTACCACCCAGACGTCTCTACACGTGGAAATCTCCAGCAGATGGAATAGAAGGACGCATCACAAGAAATCAAATCGATTACATAATGGTCAACAAAAGATACAAAAACGCAGTAAAAGCATGCAAGACATACCCCGGAGCTGACATCCCCACCGACCACAATCTTCTTTTTGCAACAATTAGGATAGAATTTAGAAGAACAAAAAGAAATAAGCAAATAGTAGCTATTAACCTAGATAAGCTTAAAGAAGAATCCACTAGTAATAAAATACGGGAAGAAATACATAGACACTTGAGTAACAGAACAGTACAATCGACACAAACTCCCGAGGAAGAATAGCACTATATTGAGAAAACACTTACAAGAGTAACAGAAGACTACCTCAAAAAAGATACACGAAAAAAGAACAAACCATGGATGACAGAAGAAATTCTAAACATGATGGACGAAAGAAGAAAATACAAAGGTAAAAAAATGAAACAACATACAAGCAAATACACAAGAATATCGGAATAAAGATCCAACAAGCCAAAGAAACCTGGCTAAGTGAAAGATGCCAATAAATTGAAGAGTTGGAACAAAGACATGATACTTTCAATCTACATAAAACAGTAAAAAAAGCCGCTGGAATATTTAAACAAACCCCTACGTCTTTCATCGAAGATAAACATGGGAACCCGCTACTGAACATAGAAGATCAAATAGGTAGATGGAGAGAATACGTGGAAGAGATGTTTCAAGACCGAGAGAGGACGAACATTTACATGCAGGAGGCATCGACTGGACCTTATATCACAAAGCAAGAAATTATCAAAGCGGCAAATCAGTTAAAGAACGGAAAAGCTTTTGGGGAAGATAACATCTCAATTGAAATAATAAAGATATTACTAGACGAACACATCGAAGTAATGGAAGATATATTAAACAAAATATACGAAACAGACATAATACCAAATGATTGGCTGACATCGTGTTTATACCACTACCAAAGAAGAGAAACTCCAAGAAATGTGAAGACCATAGGATTATTAGCCTGATGAATCATATGTTGAAGCTTTTCCTACGAGTAATACACAATAGAGTATATATAATAAACTAGACGAACACACTGGTCAAACTCAGTTTGGTTTTAAGAATGGGTTCGGAAAAAGAGAAGCACTTTTTTCAATACGTGTACTAGTTGAAAGATGTAGAGATGTCGATTCTGATGTATACTTGTGTTTTATAGACTTTCAAAAGGCGTTTGACCTGGTGAAACATGATAAACTAATAGATATTTTAAGGTCATGTAATATCGACGATAAAGACTTAAATGTTTTTTCAATGTTTACTCTGAGAAGACATTTCAGAAAGCTTTGGAAGGCACCTTGGATGGTATAATTATAAACGGGCAATGTATAAATAACCTGCGATATGCTGATGACACTGTCATACTGGCAGATAATGCTGAAGCCCTGCAACGCTTAATGAACCGAGTAACGACAGACTGTAGAGAATTTGGAATGAAATTGAATACAAAGAAGACAAAAACGATGGTCATCAGCAAGCACCAAAACAGAAGGGTGAAGGTCAATGTCGACGGAATAGATCTGGAAAGAGTAACAAGAACAACGTACCTTGGAAGTAATCTTGATGAAACTTGGGACCACTCACTAGAGATAAGAATACGCCTGGAAAAGGCACGTACAATGTTTTACAAAATGCAAAAAGTTCTATGCAACCGCCAGCTGGGCATCTTATTGAGAACTAGAATACTTAAGTGCTGTGTTTTCTCCACCTTTCTCTCTGGTGTTGAAGCCTGGACAATGACAGAAGCAACACAAAAAAGAATACAAGCAACACCAACTCTGGTGTTACCGTAAAATGCTCAGAATATCCTACATGAGCCATACGACAAATGCGGAAGTCTTGCGGAGGATGAATAAGGAAAGGGAGCTTATGCTTATAATAAAAGAACGGATAACATAATATTTTGGTCACATCATAAGAAATCAAAAGTATGAACAGCTCCAACTTATAATCGAAGGCGAAGTCAATAGCAAAAGCGGACCAGGAAGAAGACGCAACTCTTGGCTTAAAAACCTACGGCAATGGACGAACATGATCTCCATAGAACTATTCAGGGCTGCTACAAATAAGATTAAATGGGCAAATGTAATGGCCAACGTCCTTAAGGATAAGGCACCGTAAGAAGAAGCATTGGATCTACATGAATTCCTGAAAGAACTAAATTGAAGAGAAAGGCTTATTTTACCAAATTAAATTGTTACTTCTCTGGTCTAATATTCTGTGTTCCCTGTATATTTTTTCTATTATAACAAAATAACAAAAGTGTAAAAAATATATAAGATATATGTTATGGACGGAATATATACTACTTTTATGATATCACAAGCATAAACCACGTATATCACGGGCTACCAAAACGAAACCTAAAACCGTACGCCTGATTCTCTTTGAGCAGATGCTTTTCCTCAGCAAATACATCAACACTATAATTTTAGCTTTTACTCCTCATTAGGCAAGTACCTTTGAGCAAAAGACAATTTTACACAAAATGTTTGCATCGATATATACACCAAACGATCGTTTCAGTCATTAATTTATAAATATGCATTTTTCTTTGTCGTTAACTTGTGAAATACCATTAATTTATATTCTTAAGTGCTATTTAAAAAAAAATAACCTTCATAATATTTACCTATTATTTTATTTGTATGTTTAAACTACCGTAAAATCTCCGTAATGATCGTTTTTGATGGAAAATGATTTAACAATTTCCTTTTTCGTGATAGATTAAAATATGTTACAATCATGTACTACTTAGCATGAAAACGAAGCAAAATTAGTAAAAATACCGGATATCCTACGCGTCGTTAAAAAGTTAAGTTTTTTACTCTTTAGGTTCTACAATACAGTATAGAAAAAAATACTGGGGAGTTAAATAAGGAAACACTTTTAACAGAGAGTTTAAATTACTTGTAGTTAAGAAACGAAGTACAACGAACAAAGAACTAGGTGAAAGATATAAATGGTACGTAAGGAAAAGTAACACTGGGAATGCTTCTTCTCCTTCTTAAGGTATCCGTGCATTTGTGATGCTAGATAGATAAGATGAACTGGCCCGACAACACATCCAGTTAGCCAGTGACAGAATGAAAGATCAATATGATTCTCGATGCAGGAATGAAAGCTTTTAAGTAAGTGATCTTCAACGTTAGATCAAAGATGACCGGCGACCAAGCTTTAATGAATTTATGTCAAATTACGCAGAGAGAAAGAGTGCTAGATTCGGCGTGACCACAGAAGTTCAGCAGGATCTTTTTAGTGTTCTGCATAACGTCTCTCTTAAAATGACACCAAAAGTGAAAAGATTAGCAAAAATACAAAATCTCTCATGGAAATACGACGAAACCTAAACGAGAACGAAAAGGGAAACAAAGAAGAATATAGAAAACTAAATAAAAGAATTTCAGCGGAAATTAGAAAAGATGTAAGAAGATATAATACTAATGTAATTACTCAAACAGTAGAAGAGAACAAAGGTTTAAAGATAATGAAAAGAAAACTCACACAAAGTAAAAAAGAAATATACAAGCTGAGAGATAAAGACGGAGAGGCAACAACAGATAAACAAAACATTCTTAAAATAACCAGAGAGTTTTATAAAGACCTCTATACCAGCCAAAGACCACAAGACAATTTCCCGACACGAGTAAAGACTCTCATAAATCAAGGATCGGAAATACTTTTACCCATTACTGTGTCAGAAATAAGAGCAGCTTTAAAGGAAATGAAGAACCATCGATCGCCTGGTGATGATGGACTCGTTATCGAGGCAATGAAAGCAGGAGGAGAAATTTTATTAAAATCAGTAAGCGAACTGTTTAATAAATGCTTGCATGCGCGTACGATTCCAAAAGACTGGAACAATGCAGTAATAGTCTTGTTACACAAAAAAGGCGATATTACTAAATTTGAAAATTATAGACCCATCAGCCTCTTGACACATATGTACAAACTCTTTATGAAAATCTTAACAAAGAGGCTAACACCTAAACTTGATTTCTATCAGCCCAAAGAACAGGCAGGCTTCAGGGCAGGATATGGCACAAATGACCACTTGCATACCATAAAGATCTTAATAGAAAAGTGCATCGAGTACAACATACACTGGTTCTTGCATTTGTCGATTACGAGAAGGCTTTTGATTCTGTAGAGTTTGAAACAATACTGGAAGCCCTAAATCAAAGCCAATTAGATTACAGGTACACGACACTAATCAAAAACATCTACGAGAACGCTACATCAGTAGGTAGATAGTGTTCCTTCTGGAGCGGAAGTGACGTCACACGTCGATCGTCAAGCGTACGTATCCTCATGGGCC